ACCGCTGCACTCCTGCCTAGGCGACAGGCTGAGACTCTGTCTCCAAAAAAAGAATCTTGGGGATTGTTATTTCCCTATCAGTGCGTATGCTTCAAATTGGCTTTATTGCCATTAAGTAGACAGTTTGGAGACAATTACAGAGTATGTGGAGGGCAAGATATTTTACTCCACGTTATTTCTCCTCCAGGAGGAAAAGTAGATTTTTTTCCCTACTTCTCAGAGTGCTGCTATGAGCAGCAATCTTAGTCTTGAATCTCTCAACATGTTGTAAGCAAAGCTGAAAAGGTACTATGTTTAATTAATGTTGGTTCCTAAACAGGAGAGTTAAATTACCTGGTTCATTTTACGTCAATAGCTCTTCTCAAACTCCAACATGAGGTCTGGTGCAGCAGCCAAAGAGACTGAGTCCCTGGCTGCGCTGTGGCTTTGGGAGCTGGAAGTCCCCGTTCTACTTGCCCTCAGGAGCTCCTCCTCATCAATATTGCGGAATGGTGTTTTCTAAAATAACTCTAGGCTGGGCGCCGTGGCTCACGCCTGTAATCCCAGTGCTTTGGAAGCCCCTCTCTGGGAGGGGGGAAGATCGCTTGAGCCCAGGAGTTTGAAACCAGCCTGAGTAACATAGCAAGATTCAGATAGTGAAATGATTGAAAAGTTTGGTGCTTCTCAGAATTCTATAAAATATTTAGCATATTAAACCTAAAAGTAAAATATTTTAAATGACATCCAATATAGTATACTAGAGTCTATTCTACAAAAGTAGCAGAATATAAGTGTGTTTTTTGTTTTTTGAGATAGGGTCTCTCTGTTGCCCATGCTGGAGTGCAGTGGCACCATCTGAGCTCACTGCAACCTCCGTCCCCTGGGCTGAAGTGATCCTCCCACCTCAGCCTCCAGGCCCAGCCACCCAGCTGCCTGGCCGATGCTATTCTAATGCTACAGCATTATCACTAAAATTGTCTAAGGTTTTAAAGTTTTTTCCTATTAAAAAACAAACCAACAAACACTTGGCTGGGTGAGGTAGCTTAAGCCTGTAATCCAGCACTTTGGGAGACTGAGACAGGTGGATTGCTTGAGATCAGGAGTTTGAGACCAGCCTTGTCAACATGGCAAAACTCTCTCTCTACAAAAAATACTAAAATTACCCAGGTGTGGTGGCACATGCCTGTGGTCCCTGCTACACAGGCTGAGGTGGGAGGACCGCTTGAGCCTGGTGGAGGTTCCAGTGAGCCGAGATCGTGCAGGTGCGCTCCAGTCTGGACGACAGAGACCGACCCTGCCTCAAGAAAATTCACAAATAAACAAAAAGACCATCAATCTATGGGAGCAGAGCTGAAAAAACAACATGCTATAGAATTAGGCTGTCTGCTGCTATACATGTTCACACGGCTGTAACAATACTTACCAACATTCAAAATACAGCTTACAACTCTTAATTCAAAGCCTTTTATAGAATTAGTCCCCCTCATCCCAAGATTTCCATTACAATGGAAATGCAGGAGTGGAGCAGCCTGCTCAGGGCCTACACTGGTGAAGGAAATGCTCAGATGTTATTTGACAAAAATGATCAACAAGTTTGAGCAAAAAGGAAGCTGCTATAACAAGAAACCAAACAAAAATGTGGCTTAAAAAAATAAAGACATTTAATCTGCTCTCACGTAACAGTTCAATATTCCATTTGGTCATTCAGGGATCCAAGTTCCCTCCATCTTGTGACTCTGAAAAAAAAAAAAAAAATCAAGGCTACATTGCTATCGCTACTACTTTTGGGAAGGGATAAAAGTGCATGGAGGAGGTACCGTAACTGTCGTCAGGTTCCTAACACGGAATTAGCAGCATTTCCAATCAAATTTCGTAGGACTTAATTGCTTCATACACCTAAAACTACAAGGAAAACAGCAAATATAGTCCCAGTTAGGCAGGCATGTTATTCAATGTCAACCCCAATTACCATGGAAAAAATGGTGAGAATAGATTGTGGTAACTACCTCAGCTACTGGTCCGCCCCTACCCCCACCCCGCAGCTTTTTTCCACTGAATTGGGTAACATTAGTGCTCTCCAGAGAACTGGCAGGAAGGAGGTGACAAATGCACTATGCATAACCCACAATCCTTGACCTGGCAAGCAGAGAGTGGCTGTTACTCTCAGGAACCATACAAGCCAGCCTGAGCAGTGTTACAGCTATAAAGCCACTGGGGTGGTTGGCTGCCTGTAGCACTGAATATTGTCTAGAATGAATACTTCAGAGATGATCAGGTCACTGTCTCCAAAACTGTTGCCAAAGAACTGTCAGAGACTTCCCTGGGGCTCAAGACCCATTACAGGAAACTCTGACGTGACACTGAAACCAGTGTATATTTTGGCAGTAGAGCAGAGTCCTTCCTTAAGGAGATCTGACCTCCCCTTCAGGAGGTTCTAGATCTGTGAAGTTGCTAAGGGCTATGAAAAATCCGCATTTTTGGTAAGAATACTACATAGGTAATGTTTCCAAATTCCATTCTTAAGTAGGAGAGAGGGTAAAGATAAAAGCATTCAATATCCTTCCCATTCAGCTCTCAACTTACCTTTTCCCACCTTCATCCCCTGTCATCTTCAGCACACAGCTTCAGGACACAGGACACGTTTCCCTCCTCCTGGACCTCTAATAAATGCTTCCCCTCTCTGCCTGAATAAGTCATATTCCCCAAAGACCCAGGGGTCAAATATAATTTCCTTTGTGAAGCCACCTTTAACAAATATGAGTATCTGCTACGTTCCAAACTATGTTAAGAACTGGGGTGCCTATATATACCAAGGTTTTCCTATGCATATGCACCTATGGTAAAGGTTAATTTATAAATTAGGCACATTAAGAGATTAAGAATAAAATAGAACAATTATAAGAATGTAATGAAAGTTACATGACTGTGGTCTATTTCTTATTGTACTGTACCCTTCCTCTGATGATGGGATGCGAGATGGTAAAATGCCTGCATGGTGAAATGAAGTGAGGTAGGTGACACAGGCATTGTGACACACCATGAGGCTACTACTGACGTTCTTTTTTTTAGACAGGGTCTGGCTCTGTCACCCAAGCTGGAATGCCGTCTTAACTCACTGCAACCTCCACCTCCCAGGCTCAAGTGATTGTCATGCCTCGGCCTCCCGAGTAGCTGGGATTACAGGCGCCTGCCAACATGCCTGGCTAATTTTTGTATTTTCAGTAAAGATGGGGTTTCACCATATTGGCCAGGCTGGTCTCAAACTCCTGACCTCAAGTGATCCACCCACACTGGCCTCCCAAAGGGCTTGGATTACAGGCATGAGCACCGCTACTGACCTTCTGACGATACATCAGAAGGAGGATTATCTGCTTTGGGTGATCCTGGATCATGGAGCCATGACATGGTCAATGCTTGGATGTCAGGAGTAGATGGTGTAGATGACTAACAGGTGGGTAGTATGCACAGTGTGGATATATTAGAGAAAGGGATGACTGACGTGACCAGTGGGACAAAGCGTGGTGCTGCAAGATTTCATTCAGAATGGCACACAGTTGAAAACTTATGAGTTGTTTCTGAAATTTTCCATCTAATATTTTTGGACCATGGTAGCCATGGATTACTTATACCATGTAATGCAAAACCACAAATAATGGGGCACTACTGCAGTCTCTCAATTCTCAAACTTCCTCTATCCTGCTGCTAAGAAGTAATCTTGCAGTAAAGAGTAATAAAGCCCACATTTTAGCAAAATACTTTAAGCCTGTTAAAAGACAATCTAATTACTTAAACGTGGCTGCTTTATTTTGCACTTTTAAAATTCATGAAAAGCTTTACAATATCTGCATTCTACCTGCTGATCACCAAGCCTTTATGGTAAGACAATGAAAATTTTATCACATCAACTGGGCATATGCAAAAACAACAGGTAATTTACAAACAAATCTTTTTAATCAAGAACATTATGTAAAATACACACTCTGGTCAACATCTGAATTCCATCTAGACTTTAAGAGTCTTAAAAAAAAAAAAAAAACCCAAACAGATTTTAAAAAGATTTTGTTTGTGACTCTGTGAGTTGGCTGGGTGAGCCTTTTGTTGTGGGTCTGACCCTTGGAGATCATGCCATTGTACTCTAGCCTCGGCAACAAGAGTGAAACTCTGTCTAAAAAAAAAAAAAAAAAAAAAAAACCGAAACAGATTTTAACACTAACAATCCTAACAGAATAATGCTGATGGCAAGTCATAAACAGCTTTAAATGCTGAATGTAATTTGGGGAAAGGGGAGAAAAAGAAATTATCTGCGGAACCTAAAAATACATCTGTTAGTAAGACTTCTCTGACTTAATGAATTTCAACAAAGTGAACAACTCCTATACCTTTGGTAGTTCCTCAAGTTTTGTTTTTAAACTTGTGACATCAAAGGATCTGAACCCTAGGACTAGAATACTTAAGGAAAAAATCCCAGGGAAGAGGGGAGAAGGAAAAACAAGACTAGAACTTTCTTAGTCTAGCTAAGGTGGTTAACTGCTGAGTCTGCCCTGCAGACTCTGGCCAAGTGAGGAATGAAAGAAATACTCAGACACAGGCAGACTGTGAAAGAGAGCTAAGGGACTGCCAGCTTTGTGTTGCCAAAGAGAGACAGTCCTGGTAAGCCAGAGCGGCTTGTATTTATTCAGTACAGATTTAATGACGAGGGCCTGGAGCAAACACAATTTGTGGGTAATTAACATTGTTGTTCCCCACCTTCCAGGGAGCAGTCTTGCACAGGCACAGATTATCAAAGGTTGGTTTCTGGAGACATAAGCAAACAAACTTACCTACATAAATTCCTGTACACTCCCTTGTTACCTACCCCTTGCCCTTAGCCTCAGGATAAGAGAATTGGCGGCCTTCAGCTTTTATTCTCTCCTGAAGCTTTTGCAAAACCTTGAGACCTTTCAGGGTTTGCGTTCTCTCCCTGTAATTTCTCCCACCACCGTGACCCATCTCCTACATCTCCCCCTTATCTGCTTTTTTTATTTTTTTCATTAGGCTTTGTTGCTTGGAGAGTACAGATGTGTGCAGCAACAGGTTTGTCAGGCGTAGTGGTCATTGCTCATTTTTCGGCTTTGCATCCTAGAATTGGCAAATAACATGAGACAAACATGAGTATAATCAGTAATATATTTTTCTAATTAAGGAGCGACCCCCCCCCCAGGAGTGGGGGGGGTCTATCCAGGAGAGATGTTCTTCTACATCCTTCTATATGGCTGTATGTTGAGCGTGTAGATTTACGGCATTTAGGGATTCTAGAATTTTAGTTGTAAGTTGCTTTACATCTGTGGTTACATTATCATATAAGATTCCCCAGAGGTGGTGTTTCATCTCATCCTAACTATGGATTGATTGATTCCAGGGTAGAAAGCTGACACAGATATACTTATGCTCCCAGTCACAGTTTAATTGCTGTCGGAGTGCCAGTGCATCATGTCATTCCCCTACATATTCCAAGGCACCATCAAGGGCTTGCGGATGTGCAGTAATTTTTTGATCTACACCCTGCTGTAAGAGAAGTTCATTAGACATGTTTCTGGCCACGTTATCTACAACAGTAGCTGTTTGTACTGATTCAGTAATAGATCCAACAGTGACACTAGTAGTGGCTACGATGACTATGGCTGAGCCTATGAAGGCTAGCGTACTTATGAATCTTTTGTGTCTGACCTGGGACAGAGTATGTTCCAGGGAGGCAAGAGCAGAGAAACCTTGCCAATCTCACCTCAAACTGACTGGTAGGAATGTCTCAGATTGTCTCCATAATACCATGACACTAGTAATACTTAAACTAGATATACGGTAATTAGTGATACATGAGGCGAACCAGGTTGCCTTGTCCCTGCACTCAGGTCACAAACATGGAGTTTTGAGGTGTAATGGAAATATTGGTTCCCATAAGGAAAACACATGGATGGGCAGTGCAAATCAGGCACTGATCTGTGCGATTATGAATAAAAGGCATAGTATAATTGTTACTGGAATTATGATATATCCCATGCCAGGTGATAAGGGTGGTGATAAGATGTCCCAGGTGCCATGCAGTGTCTTGGGGTAGCATGGATTCTACTTGGGGTCTGGGATATCCCATCCCCTCATCCACGCAAATCATAGTGGAGCAGGACATGGCTATGAAACTGCGACTGATGCCACAATGGATGCGAACATCAGTATGGTCGCCCCGCAAATAGCCATGAGGGCTCCAGTATATGATGTCATAATTGCCTAACTGGAGGCTACAGGCTCGTCCCCCATGACAGACCCCTCAGCCAAAGTGGAATCCATTACTTTCCTGGGTTTGTTCTTTAGGGATAGGGAGGAATGTTGGGGAAGGTGGCATTAGTTGCGTTGCCCAGTTTGAGGCTACCTACAACCAAGAACGTTAAGGCATTTCCTTTGCCATGATGTAGCAATAATTCTGTCTGGGCAGGTATGCAGTCAGGATTAGAACTTTTATAACTTACACACAATGGAAGGATAGTGGAGTGATATATAGTGTTACCTGGCACCTTAGTCCAATGTGTGTCATTAATAAGGGGCCCTACCAGGGGTAAGTCAATCCCTCCTAGCCAAGCAGTTACATTACTAGAGGCTGGGAAGGGAGTGTCTGCCCAGGTAACAGAGTGGAAGAAAGGTGGATCTAGGAGATGAGCCCAATAGAGTGTAGCAGGTACGCGTTGAAGGCAAAGTGAGAGAATAAGAAAGGTTAATACCTTACAAGAGTTGCAATGTATAACAGAAAGCATAGCAAGGAATAAATTATCTGGAGTGCATGGTGTCTGTGTCCGGAGCAGGATTTGTTCAGCCTCCTGAGTTGTCTTCTTCAGCACCCCCCAGGTGATAGTTGGGGCTTGTGCTGTTCGGCGAAGCCGCAACCTCTGGGACCGTAGGTTCTTTGGGGTCACTTCCTTCACTTCTGGCACTGGGTTGGGTTCTGGCTGCACCATGGTAATGTTTGATGCATCGTGCTGGAATCCAAAGAGGGCCTGAGGGGGTGTGAACACAGCATATCCTCTTCCGCATGTTAGCAAATCATTTGGACCATACCATACATTACTATTTACATCTTTCCATAAAACTGCGGGTTTTATGTATTGAGAGGTTTTAGCAAAGTGCTTTTCTATAGGTAATAGAAACGCATACATGTACATATTTTAGTTTTCCAAATTCAGAGACATGCGTAACATCAGTTTGCCATAACTGATTAGGTTCTAGTCCTCTAGGGTTAACACCTGCAGAGGGAGGGACATGCCTGTGAGCTGGCAATCTGGGCACTGCAGGATAATTTGTTTAGCTAGTCTCTGGGTAAGCTGAAATTGTTCAGTTTCTCCAATTTTGGTGGAAAAATTGATGTGACTGGGTGGTTTGGTTAAGCAAGGATGTCAAAATTTGCAGGTTTGCTTGATTATTGCTATAAGCCAGTGGGCCAGGCAGTGAGCTGTGGGCTCAAATATGTATGATAAAAATGGACGTGTACGTTGATCCAAAAATTGCTGGAGTTGAAGAAAAAGTGCACACAGGGTGAGCTCAACAGTGGACTTAATGAGGGCTCTTTTAAGGTTCTGCAATAAACAAAAGAGTAAGCAGAGTAACTAACAATATTGATGGGCTGAGCTGAAAAGGTTTCCAGGGCCAATATAAGGGCTCTAACCTCAGCTCTCTGAGTGCCAGCAAATCCAGAATGAGTGAGAGAATAATGTGGTTCCCACCAAATAGCCCTTTCCATTTTTACCAGAGCCATCAGTAAAAAGTGTTATAGTATTAGGTATGGGTGAGTGAGCTACCTTTGTAGGCACAACTAAAGGAGTACAAGATAAGAACTAGAGTAGTATGTCAGCAGGAAGGGCATGTCCTATATGGCCTGCACAGTCAGAGGTGCTATCTGAAGGCCTAGAGATAAGGACAGTACTGCTTCAAATTGTTTTTCACTCAGAAGAATTCTTATGACATCAGGGTCATTACCTAGCAACTAACTGCATTGTCTGCAGCCCATACAGATGACTTTACTCACTAGCTAGATATAGGGAGATAGTGTTTTAGTCCTGGTATGTGAGCAAAAAACCAATTCTAGGAAGCGCAGCCCTGGGGCCATCTGTCCTATTAACCCTGTTGGGGAATGTTTAATATTGTGGGTCTATATATTCTAGTTGCCTCTGAGAAATAGCTTACTCTATTTCCTCAATTTCCCTCTTTGCTGTGGGGGTTAAATACCTAGGAGAGTCCAGAACTGTACTGCCCTTTAGGACAGAAAACAGGTTCTGTAATTTGTCAGTAGTTAGGACCAAGGTGGGCAAAGCCAATTAATATTGCCCAGTAATTTTTGATAATCATTAAGGTGTGTAAGTTGCTAGTATTTAATGTAACCTTTTGCGGTCTTACTGACTGGGATGTTAGTATGTAGCCAAAATATTTCCAAGGGGAAGACATCTGTATTTTTTCAGGTGCTATGATTAAACCTCTTAACTGTATTTTTTATGACAGGCATATAAACTAAAATGTACTGGCTCTGTTGGGGCTGCTAGTAAAATGTCATTCGTAAAATGAATAATCTTACAATTAGGAAATTCTTTTCTTCTGGGGGAGCAAAGCCTGATTTACATGATACTGACACATGGTAGGACTGTTTAGCATTCCTTGAGGAAGTACTATCCAATGAAATTGGCAAGCTGGTCTTTCATTATTGATAGCTGGTATCGTAAACACAAATTCTTCTCTGTCCTGTTCTGCAAGGGGAATAATATAAAAGCACTCTTCAAAGTCAAAAAACAACTATAGGCAAATCTCAAGGAATCACCGTGGGGGAAGGGAGCCCCTGTTGAAGGGGCCCCGTAGGTTGCAAATTAACACTGATAGCCCATAAGTCATGCAAAAGTCTCCATTTGCCAGACCTTTTGGGAATGATGAAAATGGGAGAATTCCAAGGGCTGTCTGATGGTTCTACATGGCCAGCTTTTAATTGTTCGTCAACTAATTCATGGTCTTGTTGTAATTTTTCTCCCTTTAAAGGCTGCTGTTTTACCTAAACTGAATTTTGAGAGAGCCATGTAGCGGAGGAATAGTAACAGTGGCTATTATTAGAAAGGGTTTTGCTGTTCACATAATTTATTAAATTCTGCCTTCCAGAGGAGGTATTGACTGTCCTCTAAAGTTGTTTTAGCTAGCACTGACCATTCCTATGGTGTTATATGGAAACTGTTTGCTATGGCCTCAATTAATCCTCTCGTAAATGGGCTAGCAGCTCCATTTTCTTTAACACTTTTCCTTATCTCTTTCTAAGTGTTGAAAGAAATGGGTTTGTATACCTGATTGCCTTGTTGAACATGCATTACCAGGCAGGCCAAGAGTTCCCCTTCTAATGCCACTTGCCTAAGACAGGGTCCCATAGCTGTAGTGTACCCTTGCCTTTTCCCCAATTTATTGAGGGAGGGGGCTCAGGGAGGAGGAGGAGGCCATAATGTAGGTGATGGTTCCTCCTCCCTTCCCTTTTTAGGCTCTTCTGTGTAGAGCAGGGCCAAAGTAGTCCTAACTAAGGTCCATAACATCGAAGTTGTTACTGGGACCCATTGTCCTTGTACATGTTATCATTTAAGGTTTCTCCCCACTTGTTCCCAGAGCTCTAGGTCCAGCATGCCTTCTTCTGGGAACTATGGGTTATAGGGAACAACAGTTTGCATTTGCTCCCTTAATTGAGCCTGTGAAACAGGCTCCGCTAGCTTTAAGCAGTTGTTTTAATACTTTTATATACTGTTTCTGTTGTGCGGATAACTGTTGACTCATGATAAGCCCTAGCTTGAAAACTCCCCCAAACTTGGAAATCCCGAGCAGGACCAATGACTTACTGACTGTGTAGTCTCTTCACCTTCATTTTTGAGGGTTCCGTCATGATCCATTGCAGCGTTCGTCACATGGGGCGCCAGCTGCTGAGTCTGTCCTGCAGACTCTGGCCGAGCGACGAATGAAAGAAATACTCAGACACAGGCAGGCTGTGAAAGAGCGCTAGGGGACTGTCAGCTTAGTGTCGCCAAAGAGAGAGCAGTCCCATAAGCCAGAGCCGCTGGTATTTACTCAGTATAGATTTAATGACAAAGGCCTGGAGCCAACACAATTTGCGGGTAATTAACATTGTTGTCCCCTCATTCCAGGGAGCAGTCTTGCACGTGGATGATCAAAGGTTGGTTTCCAGAGACATAAGCAAACAAACTTATCTAGATTAATTCCTTTATACTCCCTTGTTGCCTACCACTTGCGCTTAGCCTCAGGGTAAGAGAATTAGCTGCCTTCAGCTTTTATTCTCTCCTGAAGCTTTTGCAAACCTTCAGATCTTTCAAGAAGATTTACATTCTCTCCCTACAATTTCTCCCACCACCCTGACCAATCTCCTACAGGTAACAAAATCACTGCTCATATGAAGGAAGAATACCAGAGTTATTATGTGGGATTTAGCTTGGCTTACGTTTTATAAAAGTTAAATAAGTATAACATCTAAATGGCAAAAATAAAAATCCAAGGTGGTCTCATTTAGAAAACTAAAAAAATAATTATTGTCCTCAGTTTTCAAATTTGTGGAATGACACAATACGTATTTTGAGGCACCTGTTATAGGATTTGTTAAAATTATGCATACTGCTACTTCTACTTTTAATATAAATTTTATGTGCTCTAGGGTAGGTTTATCAGTCAACGCCACTAAAAATAATGCCAGAATTCAAGTGAGAGTGAAGAGAAATGGAAAGAGGATGGGAGGATATTGAAATTAGGTAGTAATAACAAACATGATTTTTAAAGTTTCCTCACTAATAACACAGAATTGTATATTTTGGCTCAATGTCACTGGGCTGCTGAAGTGAGCAGGAAATGAGTGGAATATCCTAATTGTCCCAGTTAGAGTCTTAAATAACCCGTGATTTGGATGAGGGGTTGTTTCCATAGACTGCTTGGTAAGCGGTAGCTGTGCTATCTAACTGCCAACTCACTTTGTTTCTTTCAAGAACACTTTTGAAAAAACAAGAACCTCTAAAAAGCAGCAGAACAGAACAAAGAACTCATTAGAATACAGAGATTAACACAGGAATAATCTGCTAATAGTTTAATCATGGACATGTTACAATCACCTTGTTTCCTGAAATGCAAAGTATGAGCCAATAAAAAAAATTTTTTTATAAATAAAATTCCACTATTCCAGGCATATTCCAAAATTTCCCTCTTTTGATCAAATTTTCTTTGAGAAGTCCCAAACTTAAAATATCCCTCATCTTCCACCTCAAATTGCCTCTATTTATTAGTCTTGTATATGGTATCATTTAAGATATACATCAGTGAAAACACCAGGAATTTCAGGATTATTGTAATAAAAGACACTGAGTTCATTACTTGGAAAAACGGATTTTTTCTGAGGTGTCTATCAGAGAATTAAGTGCTCTGTTTTATCATTGAATGAGAATTATTCTCAAAGCAAATATTCTCTAAGATACCAAAGTATTCTGTTTATTAGGATAGTACACTTTAACATATGACAAGTTACAAAGCCTAAGAAAAAGCAAGCAAGTAAATAAAATCACAACTCAGAATTCTAATATTTTCACGTGGTATCATGTGTTGGCAGGGCACAGTGGCTCATGCCTGTAATCTCAACACTTTGGGAGGCCAAGGCAGGCGGATCACTTGAGGCCAGGAATTAGAGACCAGCCTGGCCAACACGGTGAAACCCTGTCTCTACAAAAAATACAAAAATTCTAATTAAATATTTTAAGCAGAGTATTTTAGATTTTTACATAATATTAAAATGTGGTCAACTATCATAATGTAATTCTCTGCATCACAAAAAATCCATGTATTAAGGATTTACACAATCCAGGAAGAAAATAATTTTAGAGACCTTTATTTTTTGCCTGTGCAAAAAAAATCTAGAAAGGCTCTCCAAAATCTTGAGTGGAAGTATCATATTCTGCAATGAAATGCTTGAGTTCTTCAACACACCGCTCACCTATTTCATGTAAATTCTGCCTCAATGCAAACTGTATAGACTTTTCTAATGAAGGATCTTTTTCGATCAGCATTTTCACCACCATCCCGAAAGTTTCACAGTCTTGTCGGTAAACCTAAAAAGGTAAAGCGCATTCTGGTTAGCTGAGAATGAAAATAATTAACCAAATACTTATCTGACTGAGTTGGCAGAATTATGATGATGATGACATCTAAAACAGAGACACAGTATTACAGTCAAACCTCTCTCGCCCTTGCATTGTCGCTATTGCCAGAGGCCATTTAAACCTTTATCTTTGAGATTTGCTGAAAAGTTGAATAAGAAGGAAAACATTAACATACCACATTACTGAATGTAGAAGTTTGGCATGGCATTTGTCAGTGTAAGGCAGTCTACTCAAAGGACATCAGACTAGAGATGAGAATAAGAACAAATGCTAAACAAGGCATATCAATGACTTTGTTCATGTATTCGGAAGAAAACAGTTTCTGAGCCCCAAACTTTAGATTTGTTTGTTTGAATCATGATCAGATAATAAATTCTGTTTAGTGGCCAGGTGCGGTGGTTAACACCTATAATCTCAGCAATTTGGGATGCGGAGGTGGGTGGATCACCTGAGTTCAGGAGTTCAAGACCAGCCTGGCCAACATGGTGAAACCCCATCTCTGCTAAAAATACAAAAAATTGGCTGGGTGTGGTGGCAGACATCTGTAAATCCAGCTCCTGGGGAAGTTGGTGACCTCTAGAAACTCAGAGAGGCAAGGGAACATATACTCCCAAGAGCCTCCAGAGGAAATGCAGTGCTATAGACACCTTGGATTTGGGTCCAGTAAATCCTGTTTTCAACTCTTTATGTTATTCTAAGGTTCTCATGGCTTATTAACCAAGTTAGACCACATTCTGGGCCATAAAACCTTAAATTTGAAGTAATAGATATCATATAAAGTATGTTTTCAGATCACAATGGAATTAAATTAGAAATAAACAACAGAAAGCTAGCTGAAAAATCTCAGAATATGTGGAGATTAAACAACACACTTCTAAATAACACATAAAAACCACTGGAACAAATAAGTGATTATAACAAGGTTGTAGCATACAAGGGTGCAGGATACAAGATTTTTTAATATACAAAAGTCAATTAATTCCTATGTACCAGTAATGAACAAATGGAATTTGAAATTAAAATACAACACTATGTATATTAGCACTGAAAAAAAAAATCCTTAAGTATAAATCTAACAAAATATATATAAGATTTGTATGAGGAAAACTATAAAATACCAATGAAAGACAATATAAATAAATAGAATGTAAATAAAATATAAACTACATAAATATATAAATATAAATCAATATAAGTAACATATAAATAAGATTTAAATAGAGAGGTATTTCATATTGACAGGAAGAGTCAATACTGTTAAAATATACGTGCTTCCCAACTTGACCTATAAAAATTTCAACATAGCCTCAGTGAAAATCTCAGTAATTAATTTTGTGAATACTGACAAACTGATTTTAAAGTTCATATAGAAAGGCAGGAAACGCGTAACACTGAATATCATATGGAAGAAAAAAACGGAAAAAAATCAAAAGACTGACACAATCCAATTTAAAAACTTACTATAAAGGTGGTTCATGCCTGTAATCCCAGCATCTTGGGAGACTGGAGCAGGCAGATCACCTGAGGTCAGGAGTTTGAAACCAGCCTGGCCAACACAGTAAAACCCTGTCTCTACTGAAAATACAAAAATGACTAGGCATGGTGGCTCATGCCTGTAGTCCCAGATACTCAGGAGACTGAAGCAGAAGAATCACTTGAACATGGGAGGCGGAGGCTGCAGTGAGCCGAGATCATGCCACTGCACTCCAGTCTGGGCGTGAGAGTGAGATTTTGTCTCTAAACAAGCAAAATGCCTTACTGGAAAGCTACAGTAATCAAGACTGTATGCCACTGGCAGAAGAACAGAGAGGAAGATCAAGGACAGGACAGTCCAGATACAGACCCATACCAATATAGTACACTGATCTTTAAAAACAGAGCAGAAGTAATTCAATGGAGAAAAGACAGTCTTCAACTTGACAGTTAAGTTCAAGACTTCACTGAACTTCAAGTTGAGCAGTGCTTGAACTGGATATCTATATGCAAAATAAATAATCTAGACACAGATCTTATACCTTTCAAAAAGATGTTAACTCAAAATGGATCCTAGGCCTAAATATAAATGCCAAACTATAATATTTATAGAAGATAGCAGAGGAAAAATCTAGATGATCTTGAGTTTGGTGATGACTTTTAAATATAATGTGATATTGTGCTGGCCTGGAGCCAGAACCTGAGCAACGCTATTTTTATAAAATGCAAAACTGTTTTTAAATAAGTTGCAATGGCTGCCCCATTCTCCTCACAATAACTACTGTTCTTGGCCTCTGTAAATAGAACTGCTAGTTTGTTCTGCAAAACTACGTAAAGCTGCTTACCTTTTCTTATCAGTAACTGCTAAAATCTGTGACTTCTATCACCACCCAGACAATGTGTAAACAAATGTGTATCTTGACTTCTGTAAACCACTGAAGTAACAAACAGAATGACAAAAGTCCCCTAGACCTTGGAATGTCAGGAGACCCCCGACCTTGTCTCTGCCCAGGAGGTGAATCACAGAATCCCCTAGCCCTTGGAATGTCCGAAACCTTTTCATCCCCATCCCCGCTCTTCACCCCCACTCCCAAGGTGGTTTTTCGGGTATAAAAAGTCTTGGCACCCTCCTTTTGAGGCCACAGGTTGGAGAGACGTGAGTCCTCTGTGGTCGCCGGCATAATAAATGACCCTGCAATCTGGCATACTTTTGTCTTGGTGCTAACTTTCTACGCTCGGTCCAATACAACAATAACATCAAAACAATTCGAGAAAAAAAATCTAATAAATTGGATTTCATTAAAATTTAAAAATCTGTGCTTTGTAAAAGACACTGCTAAGGGCATGAAAAAACAGGCTACAGACTAGGAGAAAATATTTGTAAAACACATATGGGATAAAAAACTGGTATCCAAAATAAGAAAGAACTTATAACACAAAACTAAGAAACAACTCAATTATAAAAAAGGCAAAAAATCTGAATGAGCACCTTACCAAAGCAGACATTCAGATGGCAAATGAACATAGGAAAAATGTTCAACATCATTTATTATTAGGAAACTAAAAATTAAAACAATCATGAGTAGTGAGATACCACTACAGACCTATTAGAACCCTTAAAATCCAAAACACTGACAATACCAATTTCTGTCAAAAACGTAAAGCCAACAACTCTCCTTCGTTGCTGGTGGGAATGCAAAATGGTACAACCACTTTGGTAGACAGTCCAGCAATTTCTTACAAAGCAAAATACAGTCTTACCATACAATCCAGCAATCCCACTGCTAGGTATTTAGCCAAATAAGTTGAAAACTTATGTCCACACAAAAACCTGCATACAAATCTTTACATCAAAATTATTCATAACTGCCCAAAACTGGAAGCATCCAAGATGTTCTTTACTGAATAGATCGACAAACTGCAGTATACTCATACAATGGAATATTTTTCTTAAAAAGAAATGAGCTATCAAGCCACAAAACAACATGAAGGAATCCTAAGTGAAAGAAGCCAGTCTGAAAATAAATGGCTTATACACTATGATTCCAACTACACGACATTCTGTTTTAAAAAAAACACACACACGTAGACACTAAAAAGATCAACAGTTGCCAGGGGAAGGGGAAGGCACAAACAGGTGGAACACAGGACATTTTTTAGAAAGAGGAAATTACGCTGTATGGTACTATATGGCATGATACTGAATAATACATTATGCGTTTGTCAAAATTCACAGAACTGTAGGAGACAAAGAGTGAATCCTAATGTAAACTATGGACTTTAGTTAATATTAATATATCAATATTGGTTCATCAATTATAAGTATACCACTGTAATATAAAATGTTGATAATAGGGGAAACTGTGTAGGGAGAAGGTGTATGTAAGAACTCTCAATGCTCTTGTAGGTTTTCTAAAACAGCTCCAAAAAATAAAATCTATTAAATTTTTTTTTTCAAAAATAATCATATAAAAGTGAAAAAAAGAAAAAGGATTTCTTAAAACTTCTGTGCCTCAGTTTCAATACCTACATCTGACTGTGCTGTTTAAGAAGTAAGTAAGATAATATGGAACACTCAGAATAGTGCCTGCCACATAGGATGCATTTAATCTAAGTCCGCTATAGTGATGATAATGGTAAGAGGAGAAACTACTCTTCTGACTTTGCCTATAGAAAGCAGTCGTAGAAAATGGTGTTAGAGCTAGGAAGTTCTCTCTAGGAAAATAAAGAAAAGGAAAAGGAAATGGTGTTTGGGGGAAATGCTATTGGCTTAGCACAGCTAGGGTATAGAGTGTTCACCCTGAAAGGAGATCATGAAGAGCTCTTTCAGGGAGCTGAGATATCAACCAATAAATTAAGAGGGAAAGAACTACAAGTAGAAATTGGATCCTCTGGATGTATCAAGAAGAGAAAAATGATTACTAATCGATGCGTTGGGTTCCTGCTACTGAGAACCAGGACGATAAATGTGACATTAGAGGCTTTTCAAGTACAGTAGTCCCCACTTTATCTGAGGTTTCAGTTACCTGCTGTAAACTGCATTCCAAAAATATTAAATGAAAAA